GTTACTACAGGAGGAAACCTAAACTAAACTAACTTTATTTATACTAGATAGCTCTATCAGTTCTAAACTGTTCTTCCTAGAGGTCCAGTAAGGATCATCTCTTATTGATCCAGTGTTACTACAGGAGGAAACTAAAATAAAACAAAGAAAATAAAACACCACTCGTGCATGATAGTGACAGCTATTGGTGATACACACCTCCAGGAACTGTTGTCCAAATTTACCCATCTTATACTCCGTCACTCCTTCTATATCAAGCATCTCCTCGCGAGTCATCGGAAGCTTGTCGGCCATCTGTCGGAGAGTGACGTCGGCAAAGATGTGGTGTGGTTTCAATCCGTCTTCTTCTGCTAATCTCTTACAACATGACACTAACTGTTGATAACACGTGTTGGTCACGTTGGTATTGTTCATGGTTTCGCCTTTGGTATCTGTGCCACGCTTTGACGACTTTGTTCCACGTTTGAAAAATCGAGGAAGCTGAAAGCAATATATTATGACATTAATGGAAAGCAAATTATACATTGTAAACGTCACTGCCAATCTCATACAAGATACACATTCTTATTTCTTTATTGAGTTTCTCTCACTCATTGGTCAGCGGATTTCCCAACAGGCTATTGTCCAGTTCATAGGGGATCCGAGGTACCTACGATTTTAACGTCCTTATCCAAGGAGACGCGAAAGTCTAACCAATGGACCATTTGCATTAGGGACCGGTCATTATTTATGGGGGGGGGGGGGGGGGGGGGCACCGAAGAGAAAAGGGTTGGGTAAACAACATTTTGAGTAAGTAAAAGTTTGGGTAAATGAAAAACAAAACAATCAAGGGTTGGGTAATAAAAATTTATTGTCATTTCCAAAGCATGACTCACTCAAATATTGAAGACTATATAAAACGCAATGTCAACAGTCATATTTAAATACAAAATGTGAATCAATCAGGGTCACTATCTTGATCATTTTCCGATTTGTCAGGACACAAATGGTGTCTCCAAAGAAAGTACATGTGCTGGTATCATGTTTTGTAAAGTTTTTGGCCAGGGGGTGGGCATTTATTTTTTAATTGATATTTGAGGTTGGGTAATCATATTTTTGACTTTTTAATGGTTGGGTCAGCAAAATTTTTGCCACGAAAAACATTTCTCTTCGGTGCCAACCCTCACCATAAATAATGACCCGTCCCTTATAGACTAAATTTTGATCTAGACAAAAATTTCATCACAGCTTGAAAGAGCATCACAAGTTTCGTTGCGAAATGTTGTAAAATGCGGATAATATACTGTAGCCTTGCGAAGTTTGTGATTTTCAGTCATTTTAGATTACGCAAAGAAGTGGTAACCGTTTTCCGTTTGTAATCTAAAATGACTGAAAATTGCAAACTTCTGAAGGCTATATTATCCGCATTTTACAACATTTTCAACGAAACTTTGGAATATTACTAATTTGGTGATGATCTTTCAAGCTGTGATGAAATTTTTGTCTAGAATTGTTGAGTTCAAAATTTTGGTTAATTGGGGGAATGTATTGAGGTATACACTCTCAACGCCTTTCCACGCTTAGTTCTTTTGGCCGAAATTTGTGAAATTTCAAAACATGTAGTTCAATTTTCTTGCTCTTATATGCATGCATCAAGCACAGATTTTTTGTTTCCTGTTACAGACACAGTTTTTTAAATATTTTGATTACACATATAAGTTCGTTTTCATCCTCAGTTAATCCATAACACTTAGAAAAAAATGCCGCCGTGAAATGTAGATTGTCGCCGAGTTCGATCATAACGGAGGCAATTTTTGCCTAATTACATGAAATGGCTGAAATTAATGTGGGGCGACTATTTTCTGCTTAATCGACTAACGTGTTACCTTTACTCGATCATTTAAAAAGTCCATGGCCTTCGGTCCAAGTTTTGCGTACGATATGACTTGAGAATGTGCTCCGACAGTCAGGTCTTCCGCCAAGATATCCTGCATGACTAACATACGAAACAATCTCTCTGCATCATTGCGGTGAAAGTTCTCGTCTGCTTTTCCATACATCACACAGCGATTGAGAGATTCTCGTTCAACTTTGGCGTTTTGACTGCCCTGAATGTGGAATGGTGTGAGAGATAGGACAGTTGTCGAAAAGAGTTAAAATTAACCCATACTAGCGGCATGGTGGCTACTGTAGTACATGAGCCTTTTACATCTGCGATCGAATATATTGAATTCAGCAAAATACAGCTTTCTGATTATAATTTCACCTCGGTCACACGTGGGATCTTCACTCAGTACAGGGGTCAGTAGTACCAGGGCGTACCTGTGGTACGGATGGCGATATCCACTGCATAGTGATTTTTTCAAGCGTTGCAAGCTGCCCCCCACACACACACACACCCCAGTACTATAATTTGAACTCTAGATACAAAACACTGTTGATTTTCTCGGAGTATACTCTGTAATAACACTGTGTCAATAAGATCTGTCAGTTCAGAAAGTCCCTCAGAGTTCCAGTAAAGGCAGCCCTTGTTGGTCCAGTGTTACTGGGAAGGGAAATCGACTACTCAGGGAAAACCGTTGCGGAAACACTCAGACTAGGGTGAAATTATAAAATCAACTCTCACTACAAAGATAAAGGCACGTGGTGATGCCAAGTACCATCAGTGCCACCATCATCACGATGATACCATCATTACAGTATAACCATTTACAGGACTGGTATATGTTGGCAATTTTCCAAATAAGTTATTAATCAGATACGTCGTCCTTAAATCGTACCTTAAACACATCAACAAGATGTTTTAGAGTCAGCTGTGCCATGGGGCGTTTCCAGTTGCTGTTACCTCGATGTATCAACGTGTTCACAGACTCTACAACCATCTTGGCGACTTGTGTGACATCCATGTCAACCATCTCCCCAGCACATGAGCAGTTATCACAGATTGTGGCCTGGTTCTCACTGCATTCAGCGCTGTCGAAGCCCGTTTCGCCGAAGTATTCTAGCAGCTGAGCACGTCTGCATTCAGTTTGGTTTTCACAGTATTGAACGACGCGATAGAGATTGTTCATGTGAACACTTGCTGATGCCTTGTTCATTGTCTTGTCTGATAGAACCATCCTGAGTAAAGTAAGGACAGGAAATAATTCACAAGGAAAAACAAAAATTCTGGCCTTAAGAATTGAAGTCTTCTGAAGCCCTCTGTATAAAGGAATATCGTTCCTTCGGAATACATTTTTATCATATTTAAGGTTTGAAAATCTGAAACTAAATTAAGTTAAAAAAACATTATTAATATGCTGAACAGCTTTATCAGTTCTGAACTTCTTCTAAGAGGTCAACTAAGGATGGTTCTTTTGGTCCCGTATACTCCACACGCGCAACATGTAATGTAATCCACGATCAGACTTAGACCCTAAACATGCTGACGGTGCAGTTCCTGTCACTAGGCTAGTAGATTTATAATCAATTCTTTTACCATTAAAAGTAACTTTATTTATACTGGATAGCTATCAGTTCTACAGTAAACAGCTCACACTAGAGTTCCAGTAAAGATCATCTCTTATTGATCAAGTTTTACTACAGGAGGAAACCTAAACTAACTTTATTTATACTGGATAGCTCTATCAGTTCTTCACTGCTTTCCTAGAGGTCCAGTGAGGATCATCTCTTATCGATCCAGTGTTACTACAGGAAGAAACCTAAACTAAACTAACTTTATTTATACTGGATAGCTCTATCAGTTCTAAGCTGTTCTTCCTAGAGGTCCAGTAAGGATCATCTCTTATTGATCCAGTGTTACTACAGGAGGAAACCTAAACTAAACTAACTTTATTTATACTGGATAGCTCTATCAGTTCTAAACTGTTCTTCCTAGAGGTCCAGTGAGGACTTTCCCTTATTACCCAGAGAAAAGCTGTGGTGTTTGGTAGAGTCAAACTGGAAGCACTCTTCTCACATGTGACTGAGGTGAAATTATAATCAGACAACTGTATTGCAGGAATTGAACTTCAGATGCAGAAGTGAAAAGCAGTAACCAACGCGTCATGAACACCTCGTGAAATCTACTCACCTTTTTAATCTATATACATCAGAATAAGCATAAAACAATATGCACACAGAGTTTTGACCATCTCTGCCAGAACGGCCGCACTCTTGGAAATAACCTTCAAGAGATTTGGGCATGGAATGATGAAACACAAATCTCACGTCCGCCTTGTCAATGCCCATGCCGAATGCTATTGTCGCACAAATCACCTGGAATGTGAAGTGAATACAATAAATAGACAATTCCCATTATAGACTAATTTTTTTATCTTGGCAAAAAAGTATATTCCCGGAAAGAGCATACTAAAATTAGTAAAATTGCAAAGTTTGATTGCGAAATGTTGTAAAATGCGAAAAATATAGCCTTGCAAAATTAGCAAATTTTGTAACATTTGGGTCGAAAATGGTAGCAATTTCCGCACGCAATACAAAAGTACAGTATACAAAAGTTGCAAACTTTGCAAGGCTATATTTTCCGCATTTTACAACATTTCGCAACCAAACTTTGCAATTTTACTACTTTTAGTGGTTGATTTATTTGCATCTCCTTGCCTAGTTTTAAAATTAGTCTATAATGGGAATTGTCTATTAAGAGGCAATTTTTTTCAATGTCGTATTTGTGATTAAAAGTGTTCAAAACCTAAAATCATTTTGGTGTTCCTCTCAAAATTACTTTGTTTTAACTCTATTTTGTGGTTTATACAGTTAACAACCTTTTTAAATGTATCTGGCGGTTGAGAAACACAAAATAATAGACTAAATATTGTCAATTTAAGTACAAGGCATATAACAAATACCTTGCATCTGTCTCGTATCCAGTCCTCTTGAATTCGCGAACGTTGAGAATCCGACAAGCCCGCGTGATATGCAATGGCCTGGATCCCAGCATTGCGAAGATCACCGGCAACTTTATCACATTCGTTTCTAGTGACAGAAAAAAGTTGATGAAAAATCAGGGTTTGGAACTTTGAAGGTGAATTTGTTGGCTGATTTGACGGGGCAGCAAATGCTGGTCAATTTCTAAACTGTTCACACTTCATAGAAGCAAGACTATTGAATTATAAATCGGATTTTCAGGGGAGGTGTGGAGAAGTGAGCACCTCCCCTGAGATTGTTTTGCACCTCCCCTGAAAAGTCATGCACCTCCCCTTAGGAAAGTTTCAATGACAGATCAAAGTGAAAATTAGACATTTTTTGGTTGCTTAGGGTCTGCACTTCGAAAGAACGTTTTTCTGTAAAATTGAAACAGTGATAGCCATTCATCTCTGTGCCAAGTACCCTTTTAAATTTCAATGCAATGTTTTGAAAGAAATTTTGTAGTAATTGTAAGAAAGGGAAAAATTAAATGAGTTGTACAGTCATAATTCATTAATACACTGATACATATGTACACTACATGCATACGTCACGTCGTTGACTTTGGCCCGTTCTAAGCCCTAACTTTCCATGGGGGTCGTGAGCTAGGATGCTGCA